CGACGCGCGGCGAGCGTTGGCGGCTCCGTGGCTGGCGTCGTACCTCGCGAGGCTCGAGGACGAGGACGAGGACGCGCCGCCCGAGGCCCCGCGCGCGCCGCCGGCCGAGGCCGCGCCGGCTTCGAAGCCGAGCGCGGCGGCGCGCGCCCCGCCGCCGGAGGCGGCGCGGTCCCTCGAGCTCGACGCGGAGGCGACGACGGCGCTCGCGCAGCTGCCCGAGCGCGAGGCCGCCGGAGTCCTCCGCGAACTCGCGCGCAAGGGCGAGGACGTGCGCAACCCGAGCGCGTGGGTCACGCGCACCTGCCGGCGCGTCGCGCGCGAGCCGGCCCGTCCCGCCGCGCTTCCCCGCGCGCCGGCGTCGGCGCCGGTGGAGCCGGCGCGGGCGCGCGACCTCGACGCGGCGGCGCTGGCGGCGCTCCGGCGGCTGCCCGGGGACGAGGCCGCCGGCATCCTCCGGGAGCTCGCGACCATGGGCGACCGCGTCCGCAACCGGAGCGCCTACGTCTCGTGCCTCGCGAAACGCGCCGCGGCCAAGGGCGCCCCGCGCCGGGCGGTGTCACCCGCGCTTCCGGACGCGGCGGACTCGGCGCCGAGGGCGGCGGACGCCGGCGCTCCGGCCGCGCGCGGGGAGCGGGCGGAGGCGCGGCCCCCGACGCCCGCGGCGCCGCCCCCGGCGGCCTCGGAGCTCGACGCGCGCGCGGTCCGAGCGGCGGAGGACGGCGGGCCGCGCGAGGCGGAGGCGGAGGCGCCGCGCGACGACGGCTTCGGCGACGCGACGGTCGCCGAGATCCTCGAGCGGCTCGACCTGCGGCGCCTGCTGCCGCTCTTCCGCTCGCACGAGATCGACGACGACTCGCTCTTCCACCTGGAGCGCGCCGACTTCGCCGAGATCGGCGTGCCGGCGCCCGACGTGCCCCGGATCTGCGCCGCGGTCGCCGCGCGCCGCAAGGCGAAGACGGTCTCGGTCCAGGGCGAGATCGACGGCGCCGCGCGGCACCAGGCCCAGCTCGAGGCGGCGCTGGCGGACCACCGGGCCGAGGTCGCGCGGCTCCGCGTCGGCCGCCGCGCCGTGCCCGAGGAGCTGTGCTGCCCCGTGACGTGCGAGCTCATGAAGGATCCCGTCATGGCCGACGACGGGCACACGTACGAGCGCGTCGCCATCGAGCAGTGGTTCGCGACGGGGAAGCGGACGTCGCCGAAGACGAACGAGTCGCTGCCGTCGACGGTCGTCCGCCCGAACCACGCCGTGAAGAGCATGATCGCGGGCTTCCTCGACGCGTGCCGCCGCTCCGGCGTCGCGCCCGACGACTGAGCGCGCCCTCGTAAGAAGCCAATTCACACACTGGGACTTAGACCTCCTCGGCTGCCGGGCCCGGGCAGGACTCGAGGTCGAAGGAGCCTGTTGAGGCCGTCGTTGTCGCCAAAGCTCAGGCTGCAGCACGATGGCCATGGCAACGAAGCTTGCCTGTGCAGCTCTCTGCATCGCCGTCGCCAGCGGCTTCGCGCCGTCGCGGCCCGGCGGCGCGGCGCCCGCGGCGCGGCGCGACGGCCGCGCCGCCGTCGCGGTCGCCGCCGCCGTGGAGTCGCTGAGCTTGTCGCCGATCGCGAAGGTCGGCGGCGTCGTGCGGCTGCCCGGGTCCAAGTCGCTGAGCAACCGGGCCCTGCTCATCGCGGCGCTCTGCGAGGGCGAGACGACGGTGGAGAACCTGCTCGCGAGCGACGACACGGAGCGCATGCTCGAGGCGCTCGCGGCGATGGGCGTCGCCGTCGCGGATCTGGGCGACGCGGCCGTGCGCGTGACGAGCTCCGGCGCGCTGAAGGCGCCCGGCGCGGACCTCTTCCTCGGCAACGCGGGCACGGCCATGCGGCCCCTCGCCGCCGTGCTCGCGGCCGTCGCGGCCACGGACGGCGGCGACTTCGTCCTCGACGGCACGCCTCGCATGCGCGAGCGGCCCATCGAGGACCTCGTCGACGGCCTCAAGCAGCTCGGCTGCGACGTCGAGTGCACGCAGAACGGCGACTTCGGCGGCTGCCCGCCCGTGGTCGTCAAGCCCGGCGCGCGGGTCGACGGCGGCGTCGCCCGGGTCTCGGGGAAGACGTCGTCGCAGTTCCTCTCCGCGCTCCTCCTCGCGTCGCCCCTCCTCGCGACGACGCAGCCCCTGGTCATCGAGATCACCGACGAGCTCATCTCCCAGCCCTACGTCCAGCTCACCGTCGACCTCATGGCCAAGTTCGGCGTTGTGGTGGACATCGACGGCGCGTACCGGTCGTTCACCGTCGCGCCGGCGCAAAAGTACACGAACGCGGGCCTCCCCGACGCGACCTACTTCGTCGAGGGCGACGCGTCGTCGGCGTCCTACTTCCTCGCCGCCGCGGCCATGACCGGCGGCGACCTCACGGTCGTCGGCTGCGGCTCCGAGAGCACGCAGGGCGACGTCCGCTTCGCGGAGGTGCTCCGCGACATGGGCGCGCCCGTGACGCTCCACCCGACGAACATCACCGTCGCCGCGGCGACGCCAAACCTCAAGGGCATCGACGTCGACTGCCTCGACATCCCGGACGCGGCGATGACGCTCGCGGCCGTCGCGCTCGTCGCCGCCGGGCCGACGACGATCCGCAACGTCGGCTCCTGGCGCGTCAAGGAGACGGAGCGCATGAAGGCCATCGTCGCCGAGACGACGAAGCTCGGCGCCGACGTCTTCGAGGGCGACACGCACTGCGTCATCACGCCGCCGGCGGGCAAGCCGAACGCGGGCGCGGAGATCGAGACCTACGACGACCACCGCATCGCCATGACCTTCGCCCTCGCCGCCTGCGCCGGCGTGCCCGTGACCATCCTCGACCCCAAGTGCACGTCCAAGACCTTCCCGACCTACTTCGACGAGCTCGCGCGCGTCACGCTCGCCTGAGGCGGCGGGCTAAGGGCCGTCCGCCGGAAGTTTACGGGAGCCACGCGAGAGCGACGAGCAGAGCGACCGGAGAAGGGAGGGGCGCGTGGCCGCGACTGACCGGGGCCCGCGCGGTCGTCGGCGCGGGCGACGCCGTCGGCGCGGGCGACGTCGTCGGCGCGCGCGTCGGGCTCGGGCAGTCTGCACGGACGGAACCGCTGCATCCGTCGCAGGTGCAGCAGGAGTCGAACATGTCGTCGGAAGAGTCCATGCCCGAGGCATTCCAGCTATCCCAGCATAGCTCCTGGTCGAACGACCGGGCGTCGTGGAACATCTTTTCCGCCCAGGCGACGGAGGAGGTGTCCCACGAGGAGAGGGGCTGGTTGAACGACGAGGCGGAGGCGAACATGTACGACATGGATGTGACGGAGGAGGTGTCCCACGAGCCAAGGGGCTGGTCGAACGCCGAGGCCTCGCGGAACATGCGGAGCATGGATCCGACGGAGGAGGTGTCCCACGCGTCGATGGGCTGGTTGAACGACGAGGCGTTGAAGAACATGCCGGACATGTCGATGACGGAGCCGGTGTCCCACGAGGCGAGGGGCTGGTTGAACGACGTCGCGGAGCCCCGCCCCTCGGAGGCGAACATGTAGTTCATGGTGGTGACGGCGCCGGTGTCCCACGAGTCGATGGGCTGGTTGAACGCAAAGGCGGCGGTGAACATGCGCAACATGGTGGCGACGGAGCCGGTGTCCCACGAGGAGAGGGGCTGGTCGAACCGACGGGCGTCGGAGAACATGAAGGACATGTCGGTGACGGAGCTGGTGTCCCACGAGTCGAGGGGCTGGTTGAACGACTGGGCGTGGAAGAACATCTCGCACATGGTGGTGACGGAGCCGGTGTCCCACGACCCGAGGGGCTGGTCGAACGACATGGCCGAGTCCCACGACCCCATGAACATGCGCTCCATCGTGGTGACCGCGCTGGTGTCCCACGAGTCGAGGGGCTGGTTGAACGACGAGGCCTTGCTGAACATGCCGAGCATGGTGGTGACGGAGCTGGTGTCCCAGGCGCTGATGTCGTCCGTAAAGTTCGCGGCCGCCGCGTTGCAACAGATTCCGTCGCTGACGCAGTCGGATCCGTCCGGGTACGCTTGCCTATTGCCATCTTGTGCCCAGGCACAGAAGAGCCAGGCCATGTCGGTGATCGAGCCCGTGTTCCAGCTCGAGATGTGGCCGTAGGTGGCCTCGGCGGTGGTCGCGTCGTCCAGCCACGCCTTAACCGCATCCTGGAGCTCGCCCTTTGTTGTAGGCGTGAGTCGTCGTCCACGTTGGAATGCCCGAGAGCATCGGCTGCCTCGGCCCGTCGGACTGCTAGATCTTGTGCTCGTTGCGGTAAACGCAAACCCACTTCTGCGCACGCGCGCCGACTCAGGACACGAGGCCGAGTCCGCCGCCGCAGAGGCCTGCGACGCTGGCAAGAGGCCCCACAAAAACCTCCAGCGAGTCGACCGCGAGCGCCCATATCGTCGGTCGGTGATCCGCGGACAGACGCGTGAGACTCCCGCAGTCGACGCGCGCGTGAAAGCTCTCGCAGACAAGGATGTCGACGTCCATCACTCGCGCCGTCACCTGCTCGCTGCTCCTCACGGTCGCGGCCTTCCTGCCGTCGCACCTGCCCCGGACCGCCCTCGACCGGAGGCTCGCCAAGGTCGCGCTGCGGTCCGAGGCGCGGCGGAGCTGGCGGTCGACGCTGTCGCGGCGGCGCGCGGCCGAGGCCGACGACGCCGACGCGCCGCCGCTCGCGCCCGAGTCCACGGACGCCGAGGCCGAGGTCGAGGCGGTCGCCGCCGCCGCGCCCGCGGCGCCCAAGCGGCCGCCGCCGCAGCGGCCGAGCTTCCAGAAGAAGTTCGTGAAGACGGCCGCGAACCCCGTGACGTGGAAGAACGGCATCTACGCCGGCTCGCTCGCGTTCGCGGTCCTCCTCCCCGCGGGACTCCTGCTCCTCGCACAGAAGTAGGCCCCCGACCTGTCACTAAAATGCACATGTTTCCTACTTGGCGTCGAGCAGCGCCATCTCCGCGTCCGCGAGCTCGAAGGAGTAGAGGTCGAGGTTCGTCGCCGCGTAGGCCGGGATCTTCGTCGCGTTCTCCCCCAGGCCCACGGCGAGCGCGGCGCCGTGCTGCAGGATCCAGCGCAGGCACACCTGGGCGACGCTCACGCCGTGGCCCGCGGCGACGGCGACGACGTCGGCGTCGTCGAAGGGGCAGCCGCGCATGGCCTCGTAGGCCTCGTAGGTGACGCCGCGCGCCCGCGTCGCGTTGAGGCCCGCGGCGTCGCGGTTGCCGACGGACATCTCGCACTGGTTCACGGCCGGCGGCACGGTCCAGGCCTTTTCCAGCGCCGCCAGATCGTCCGCGCCGTAGTTGGACACGCCGATGGCCCGCGTGAGGTTCCGCGCGAGCGCCTCTTCCAAACCCTCCCAGAGCGCCGCGTCGAGGGCCGAGAACTCGCAGGGGTGGTGCAGGAGCACGAGGTCGACGTACGTCGTGTTCAGCCGCTCGAGGTCCGCCTCGACCTACCAAGCGTGACGGTGACGATTTCTCGTTGGTTTCCCACCCAAAATTTCTCGAACATCGTCACGGCCACAGGACGCTGGCCTCGACCTGCCGCAGCGCCTTGTCCGCGCCGCCGAGGCAGAGGCCCGTGAGTATGCCGATGCCCGCGGGGATCTTCGTCGTGATGAAGAAGTCCTCGCGCGCATATTCGGAGCTCGCGGCGAAGAACGCCGCGATGTCGGTCTGCTTGCCGCCCGGCACGGGAAAGCCGTAGTCCAGCGCCGTGTCGATGCCGACGCCGCCGGCGGCAGCCCAGGCCGGGAGCGACAGCTCGACCTCCGAGCCGCAACACGTGCCCAGGTTGATCCGGGGCATGGCCACGCCCGGGGCGATGGTGACCGTCGTCTCCATCGCCGCCAACAACGGCGCAACAAGCACCAGCCAGAACGGGAGGGCAGGCATTGTCATGTCTTCTTCAAGGACTTTTTTGAACGTCAAGGTCGACTTTGTATCCGCCCGTGCCCGGCCGAGCTCTTCGGCGTCCTCGTCACGCGCTCCAAGTCTGCGGAAGCCGCCGCCTGCGATGCGCCTCCAGCAGCTCGCAGCGCTGCTGGCGCTGTCGCAGGCGCTCGTCGCGCCGCCGCAGCGCCGCGCAACCGCGCCGACGCGCCGCGCGACCGCGCCGAGCCGCTTGGCGACGACCGTTTTGGAAGAAGAGGCCGACGAGGAGGTGGCCAGCGGCGAGTTCGTCTGGCGCGTCGAGGCCGAGGCGATCCTCGGCGGCTCGGCGCCCGGCGCCTTCGTCGAGTCGGCGCCCTTCGCGCTCTGCGGCCACGACTGGACGCTGCGCGTCTACCCCGAGGGCCTGTCGCCGCGGCGCCGCGGCCGCTGCGGCGTCTACCTCCGCTACGGCGCCGAGGACGTCGGCGACGCCGTCGACGCGGCCTTCGAGCTGCGGCTCGGGGGCGCCGGCGGCCCGACCTTCAACACGGGCATCACCTTCGTGCACCCGCTCGCCGCGGGCGTGCTCGACGGCGAGGCCACGGACTGGGGCGGCCACCTCTGCTCGTCCGAGGACGCGCGGGGCCTCGTCGGCGACGACGGATTTTTGGACGTGTCCGTGGACGTGGCCGTCTTCGCGAGCTCGAAGTGGGCCGCGGGCGCCGGGCGCAGATTCTCGACGTTCCGGCTGCCGCGGCGCGCCGAGGCGCTCGCGCGGCGCGTCGACTCGGGCCTGCCGCTCGTGCTCTGCCGCCTGCCGCGGCTCGTGCGCGCGGCCTTCGCGGCGCCCGACGCGGTGCGGAACGGCCTGCGCGTGGGCAACGTCGTCGTGCCCGTGCTCGCGGGGAGCCCCGAGGCGAGCGAGCGCGGCGCGGCGCCGCTCGGCGCCGACGGCCTCCCGAAACCGCCGACGTCGACGGCCGAGTACCGCGCGCTGCTCGCGCAGACGGCCTTCATGCTCGCGGCGGGCCGCGAGGCCTGGGGCCAGCGGGTCGGCGACGACGGCGCGCGCGCGACGCTCGGCGCGGCGGGCGTGCTGCCGGGCGCGGACTACCGCGTCGTGGGAATCACGCGCGCGGACGGGTCGCGGGCCCGGCGGCTGCGGCCGGGCGAGGGCCGCGGCGCCACCGTCGAGCTCTACCCCATCTTCGAGGACCGCTTCCGCGGCGCGCCGGACGGCGGCTGGCCCGCGTCGCTGCCGCTCGGCGGCGACGACGTCGCGCTGCTGACGCAGCCGGGCTTCGCGGCGGCGACGGCGACGGCGGCCGCGTCCTTCGCGGCGACCTTCGCGGCCGCGGCGCTCTTCTTCTCCAACTGCTTCTCGCTGACGTATATTCCCACGAACTCCATGGTCCCCACGCTCCAGCCCGGCGACGTCGTGCTCCAGGACCGCTTCTTCACGGGCACGGGCTTCGGGCCCTTCTTCATCCCCCCCAAACGCGGCGACCTCGTCTTCTTCGAGCCGCCGCCGGCGCTCCGGGCCCTCGTCGAGACGGCGGGGGGCGGCGGCCTCGACAGCCGCCAGTTCGTGAAGCGCGTCGCCGCGGTCGAGGGCGACAGCGTCCGCGTGTCCAAGGCCGGCGGCGTCGAGGTCCGCGGCGTCCCCCGCCCGGGCAAGTGCCCGCCCAAGGTCGGCCGCCAGCCCGAGTTCGTCGAGGCCAAGGGGCGCGTGCCCCGCGGCACGCTCTACGTCCTCGGCGACTGCCCGGCCGCGTCCGTGGACTCGCGGTCCTGGGGCGCGCTCCCCGTGGACCTCGTCACGGGCCGGCCCATCGTCCGCGTCTGGCCCCCGGCCCGCTTCGGGCCCGTGGGGGGGGACCGGTAACGTCGGGGTCTTGTTTCCCCCCCCGGGGACGGCATCGTGAGCGAGCGTGGAGCGCGGCGTCGTGCGGTCGTGAGCCGAAGAGACGCATGTTGGCGTCTCGTTGAAGTTGAGCACTTTGAAGTTGCACAGCTCAAACGTCTACACACACACACACACATGGGGCGATTCGTCCTCTTGCTCCTCGCGGCGACGGCGTCGGCCTTCGCGCCCGTGCGGCGGCTCCCGTCGCCCGCGCTGCCCGTCGCCGGGCGGTCCGCGCCGGCGCTCCGCCTCGACGCCGCGGCGCAGCGCCGCTTCGAGGGCGTCCTGGGCCGCGTCGTCGGCGCCGGCCCGGCGCGGGGCCCGCTGCGGCGCCTGGCCGCGGCCGTCGCGCGGCGGCGCGGCCCCCTCACGACGTTCCTCGGCCGCGTCGTCCGCGTCGCCCTGCGGTCCCTCCTCTGGGGCGCCGTCGTCGCGCCCGTGGTCGCGAACGCGCACCCGGCGTTGGCGTACGTCGGCTACGGCCGCGAGGAGGTGGACGTGCTGCGGTCCGAGAGCGGGTCCATGGGGTTCGTCATCCCGCTGTCCATCGCGGGCGTCATCGTGACGACCATGCGCCAGGGCCAGCGGAGCAAGAAGGAGGTCAAGCGCATCAAGAAGGCGTACAAGAAGGTGCAGGAGGAGGAGGCCGAGTACCTCAAGGTCGACGGCGAGGCCGAGAGCGACGCCGACATCATGGCCCAGCTCCGGAACCGCACGACCACCATGGCCGAGGAGGAGGCCGCCGCCGAGGCCGCGGCGAACGCGCCGCCGGAGCCCGAGGCGCCGCCGCCGCCGGTCAAGCCCAAGCGCATGACCATGGCCGAGAAGATCAAGGCCCGCGAGGCCGCCCTCGGCCAGAACCGCACGAAGCTCGGCTAGGGCCATCTGCGTAATTTACGTACGTCCGCGCGGCACGGCGGGGATTCGGGGGGGGTCCCCGCGAGGCCTACATCGCCGTCGGCGCGGGCGTCGGCAGGGGCGACGGCGGCGGGGAGACCTCGCAGCCCGTCCCCGCCGCGTTCGGCGCCGCGCCGCCGTCGCACGCCGTGACGACGCAGGCGTAGAAGTCCCAGTCGTTGGCGCTCGCGTCGTCCGCGCCCTCGCAGAGGCGGCAGAGGCCGTCGTCGTCGTTGTAGGCGACGGAGCGGCTGTCCGCGTTCCCGGACGAGAAGAAGAGGTCGTAGCACGCGTCGAGGTCGTCGACCTCGACGGACGCGCCGAGCGTCGTCGCGCACTTGTGCTTCGACGTGTGCGCCCAGTCGCAGGCGGCGACGGCGCTCGAGCCCGTCGGCGCGGCCGTGGCCGACGGCGCGGGCGTGTCGACGGGCGTCGCGGTCGGCGCGGCGGCGTCCGCGGCGATGTCGTCGCAGTCGACCTTGTTCCACTGCGACTGCGGCGTGCACTCCGCGTAGGTCGACCCGGACGCCGACTTGCCCTCGACGGTCCCGGAGAGCTTGAGCTTCACGTGGCCGTCGTCCCGGCACTTTTCGAAGATCTTGTCGTCCCAGGAGCTCGTATTCGCGTCGGGGCGCATCGTGAACCGCTTGCCCTCGTACTTGCCCGTCGAGAAGCTCACGCCGCCGCTGTAGGCGGCGACGGTGACCTTGCCGCCGTCCTTCATCTTGAGCTCGAGCCTGCCGCGCGCGTCGCACGTCGCCGCGGCCCTCGGACGCCGCCGTCGCGCTTGAAGGTCTTCCACTCGCTCTCGTAGACGTTGTTGTTCTTCAGGTTGATCTTGATGGACCTGGGTGGAACGCGTGCGCGCGAGCGCGGGCGCTCCGGCGGACACCGCCGCGACCCGTCGCCGTAGATGGCCTTGACGTTCGCGTTCTACGAAACGTCCGCGTCTCGCCGCGCCAACCCTCCGGACGCTGGGAAAAAATGCGGGGTCGTTGAAGATGCCGAACACGCAGCCGACGACGATGGCGGCGCTGACGAGGCAGCAGCAGCACGTGGCGCCCAGGAAAATCTTCATCCCGCCGGCGCAGGCGCCGCCGCTGCCGCCGCCGCCCTGGGCGCCGCCGCCGCCGCTGTCGCCTACGAACAAGATTTCGCGCGAAAGAGCTACTCCACCGTTGGACGCCGGCGATCGCCGACGAGGTTGTGCATCTCCACATCCTTTTCAGCCATGGCAGCTTGCCAAGCAGTGAGACTCGTGAGGAATTCTAGAATGCATAAAAGCTTGTCATTCAAGAAGAACTCTCGCAAGTTGAAGAAGTGAAACGCTCGCCGCTCTAGGGATGGTGTCGCTGCCCGTCCTCGCGCTCCTCGCGCCGCTGGCGTGGGCTGCTGCCTCTCCGCCGGCCTGGGCGAGCCTCGCGCGCGTGGACTACGACGCGCCGCCGGTCCCCAACGCCAGCAGCCTCGTCGGCCTCACGGTCTGCGGCTACCAGCAGTGGTTTCGGGCACCGAACGACACGGCGACGAACGAGGGCTGGACGCACTGGGGCAACGGCGTCGGCGCGCTGCACAACGGCACGGGCATCGAGGAGGACTACTGGCCCGACCTGTCGGAGTTCGGCGACGACGAGAAGTTCGCCGCGCCGGGATACAAGTTCGCCGACGGCTCGCAGGCCTACCTCTTCAGCTCCATCAACGCGCGGACGACGCTGCGCCACTTCCAGTGGATGGAGGCCTACGGCATCGACGGCGTCGCGCTGCAGAGCTTCGGCCCCCTGGGCCTCGACCACGAGATCCTCAACCACACGCTCGCGGCCGCCGCCGCGACGAACCGCGTGGCGTACGTCGAGTACGACCTCAGCGGCTACGCCGGGCGCGGCGCCGCGGCGGCCGCCATGCTCAAAGAGGACTGGGCGGGCCTGCGGCGCCAGGGCGTGCCGGACCACGCGCGCTACGTCCACGAGGGCGGCCTCCCCGTCGTGGGGATCTTCGGCTTCTACATGGACCGCTTCAGCGGCGAGGAAGCCAACGCGATCCTCGACGTCTTCGACGGCACGGCCTTCGTCGCCGGCGCGGGCCAGTGGTGGTGGCGCAGCGACCAACCCTCGGCGAACTGGACGCGAGCCTACGACCGCATGGGGAGCTGGTCGCCCTGGAACGCGGGCGACTGGAACGGCGACGCGGCCCACCCGGCGGCCGCCACGGGCTACTGGGCCGCCGACAAGGCGGCGGCGGAGCAGGCCGGCGTCCTCTGGCAGCCGGAGCTCGCCCCGGGCATGTCGACGAACCACCGCGACGGCACGCCCGCGGGCTCGGGCCGCCTCCCGCGGCTCAGGGGCGCCTACCTCTGGGCCCAGTTCTACGCCGCGGCGGCCATCGGGGCGAAGACGGCCTTCGTGGGCATGTTCGACGAGCTCGACGAGGGCACGCAGATCCTCAAGGTCGTGAACGACCCGCCGGCGCCGGGCGACATTGGGTACGAGGGCCTGCCTTCGGACTGCTACCTCGTGCTCACGGGGCTCGGGTCGAAGATGCTGCGGGGCGACGCGCCGCGCAACGCGACGACGCCCGACTGCGCCGCGCTGACGCAGCCGACGGCGCCCGCGGCGCGCGCGCCGGCCGCCGGCGTGCTCCGGTGGGCGCCGGCCCTCGCGCTCGCGGGCGGCGGCGCCGTCGACCACTACGAGGTCCTCGTCGACGGCGCCGTCCGGCGCACGGCCGACGCGGCGACGCTCGCCGTCGCGTCCGCGGCGACGTCCTTCCGCGTCCGCGCCGTGAACTCCCTCGGCAACGCGGGCGCCTGGAGCCCCTAGGGGCCTAACGTATCCCGCCGGCGGGATATGGTACACGTTGAGGTTGAAGTCCAAGTTGAAGCGGCCTTTAACATATCCCGCCGGCGGGATATGTTAGGCCGGGTTGAAGCGGCGTCCGCCGGCGGGATATGGTACGTTACGCGCCCCGGTACTGCGCCATCCAGTCGCAGGGGGGCTTCCGCGCGTTCGGCGCGCGGCCGAGCCACGCGAGCCCGCCCGCGCCGTTCGCCGCGGCGCAGACGCCGTCGAGCTCCGCGGCGGCGCCGCGCGCGACGTACTTCTTCTGGTGGAGCATGAGGAGGGGCCCGAAGACGGGCTTCGCGCATTTGCCGGCGACCGTCGACGCGTCGACGTCGCGGACGTTGAGCGCGTGCGGCAGCGCGCCGACGCTCCACCGCGCGCCGTCGCCGCGGTCGCAGTTGGCCGCCATCGCGCGCGCGAGGGGCGCCTGGTCCGCGGCGAAGGACTCGACCTGGGCCCGCTGCAGCCGCGCCGGGTCCTTGGCCTCGCGCGCGTAGAGCCGGAGGTACGCGTCGAGCCAGTCCGCCGCGAACGCCTCCGCGGCGGCGCCGCGCGCGACGGCGAGCGCGCCGCCCTGGGCGCCCGCGCAGAAGCCCCGGCCGCTTCGGTCCGCGCGGTCGACGCACTTGGCCTCGAGGGGCGCGGAGTAGTCGCGCGCGCGGCTCGCGTGGCTCCAGACGCAGCGCCGCGCCTCCTCGACGACGCGCCGCTCGCCCGCGGCCTTGGGCATGACGCGCGCGCGGACCGCGTGCGCGTCCCGGCGCCGGTGCAGGTCCGCGAGCGCGGCCTCGAGGGCCGCGCCGTCGCAGAAGTAGGTGTCGTCGTCCGCGAAGAGCGTGAGCTCGTAGGGCCCCCGCGCGACGTTGAGGATGCGGCCGACGCGGCTCCGGAGCTTCGCGAGCTCCTGGCGCCGCTTCGCGCCGACGCCGCGCGCGTCCGGGTCGAGGAGCGCGACCTCGCCGGCGTTGCGGCCGGCGAAGGCCGCGCCGCCGTCGGCCAGCACGGCGTCGAAGAGGCCCGCGGCGCCGGCGCCGGCGACGGCCGCGGGCGACGCGTCCGTGAAGAGGCACCGCGGCACGGCCGGCGCGCGCCGCCGCAGCGACCGCGCCGACGCGATGACGTAGCGCAGGTCGTGGCGCGCCGTCGCGTTGTCCACCATGTTCCGCGTCCAGCAGACGCCGACGGGCGCGACGGCCCCGGCGCCGCGGAGGAGCAGGAGCAGCGCAGCGATGGTGCGCATCTTTCGAGCGGACGCGATGGCGCGCGGCGGCGGCGCCTATTCAAAACTCTAGCTTTCGCAGCAGCGCCGGTCCGTGCGACCTATTAATTAAGGGGCTGCTATCGAGCAGCCATGCCGCCCCCGCTTGAACGGCAATGTCGTCAAGTCGAAGAGCAAATTGAGGCCTGGTGCCGCAATCGCGCTCGGGCATCGGCGGCGCGCGACGCTCGAGTGCTCCTCGAATTTGCGTCGGCGCCATGAGCGGCGTCGGCCGCGCGGCGGAGCGGAAGCTCGTCTTCTGCGGCTGCGAGGACGCCTGCGCGTTGTTGAAGACGGACGCGGACCGGGGCCTCGACGACGGCGACGTGGCGTCGCGGCGCCTGGCGTACGGCCCCAACGAGCTCGCGGAGGAGGAGGAGGAGGGGGCCTGCCGCAAGTTCCTGGAGCAGCTCAAGGAGCCCCTCATCCTGCTCCTCTTCGGCAGCGCCGTCGTGTCGAGCCTCCTGGGCCAGTACGACGACGCGATCTCCATCGCCGTCGCCGTGCTCATCGTCACCTTGGTCGCGTACGTGCAGGAGGCCAAGAGCGAGCGGACGCTCAAGGCGCTGGCGTCGCTCGTGCCGCCGCGCGCGCTCGCCGTGCGCGGCGGGCGGCCCGCCGCGGACGTCGCGGCCGCGGACCTCGTGCCCGGCGACGTCGTCGTCGTCGCCGCGGGCGACCGCGTCCCCGCGGACGTGCGCCTCGTCGAGGCCGTGGAGCTGCTCGTGGACGAGTCGTCGCTCACGGGCGAGTCGGAGCCCGTCGACAAGGTCGCGGACGCGAGCGACGGCGCCGCGGCCGCGGCGCCGGGGTCCGCGCCCGTCACCGACTGCCGGACGCTCCTCTTCGCGGGCACGTTCGTGCGCTACGGCCGGGGCCGGGGCGTCGTCGCCTGCACGGGGTCGCGGACGGAGTTCGGCATCGCGGCCCAGGAGCTCAAGGACCTCGAGCCGGGGCGGACGCCGCTCCAGCAGGGCATGGACAATTTGGGGAAGAAGCTGAGCGCGGCGTCGATCGCCGTCATCGTCGTCATCGGCCTCGTGGGCGTGCTCCGGGGCGAGCCCATCCTCGACGTCTTCACGGTCGGCGTGTCCCTGGCGGTCGCGGCGATCCCCGAGGGCCTGCCGATCTGCGTCGCCGTGACGCTCGCGCTCGGCGTCATGCGCGTCGCGCGCCACAAGGCCGTCGTCAAGCGGCTGCCCGCCGTCGAGGCGCTGGGCTGCGTGTGCAAATCAAATCTTCAACCCGACTTCAATGTGCGCGTAATCGAACGGTTTGACACGAGCACATCCGCCGTGCTTCGGGAACTCGACGAGAGCAATCGATTCGTCCGAAAATCAGCCGAATCGACTTCGATGTGACCGAGCGAGAGATTTCTGAAGTTTGGCCCCGACGTCCCAGCTCACTGGTTGATTTCCACACAGGCGCTGGGCTGCACGGACGTGCTCTGCTGCGACAAGACGGGCACGCTGACGAAGAACGAGATGGTCATGACGGAGGCGCGCTGCGGCGCGTGGCTCCTGCGGCGCGGGCCGCGGGGCGGCTGGGAGTGCTCCGTCGACGTGCCCGCGGGCGGCGACCGCGAGTGGCTCGCGCTCGACGGCGAGGACGCGCTCCTGCCCCAGCCCGTGCTCGCGGCGCTCGACGCGTCGTCGCTCTGCTCCAACGCGGAGCTCGACGCGGGCCAGCCGACGGAGGTCGCGCTGCTGCGGGCCGCGCGCGAGCTCGGCGTCGCGGACCGGCGGCGGTCGACGACGCGCGTGTCCGAGGTCGCGTTCTCCTCGGAGCGGAAGCGCATGGAGGTGCGCGTCGCCGAGAGGGACGGCGCCGTCGGCACCTACGTCAAGGGCGCCCTCGAGGCGCTGACCTTCGACGCGGACCCGCGGTGGCACCGCGAGGCGTCGACGATGGCGTCGCGCGGGCTGCGGGTCCTGGCCGTGCTCAAGTCCGACGACAAAGGCACGCGGCTCCTGGGGCTGCTGGGCATCAGCGACCCGCCGCGGCCGTCGGCGCGCGAGGCCGTGGTGCGCCTCGCGGAGCGGGGCACGCGGACGATCATGCTCACGGGCGACGGCCGCGAGACCGCCGTCGCCGTCGCGCGCGCGGTCGCGGTGCTGCCCGAGGACGCCGACGTCGGCGCCGGCGCGGACCTCGTGCTGAGCGGCGACGAGTTCGACCAGCTCGCGGCGGGCGGCGACGGCGCGGACGCCGCGCCGCCGGGCGGCGCGGTCGTCTGCGGGTCGCGGCGCGACCGCGACGACCACGCGGCCGCGGTGCTGCGGCGCGTCGCCGTGCTCTACCGCGTGTCGCCGCGCCACAAGCTCGACGTCGTCCGCGTGCTGCGGCGCGCGGGCTGCGTCGTCGCCATGACGGGCGACGGCGTCAACGACGCGCCCGCGCTCAAGGCCGCGGACGTCGGCATCGCCATGGGCGTCGCGGGCACGGACGTCGCCAAGGAGGCCGCGGACGTCGTCCTCGCCAACGACGAGCTGCTCTGCATCCTCCACGCCGTCGACGAGGGCAAGGCCATCTTCCACAACATCCGCAACTTCCTCACGTTCCAGCTCTCGACGTCGCTCGCCGCGCTCGGCATCGTCGCGGGCGCGAAGCTCCTGGGCCTGCCCCAGCCTCTCAACCCCATGCAGGTGCTCTGGATCAACATCATCATGGACGGGCCCCCGGCGCAGTCGCTCGGCGTCGAGCCCTGCGACGAGGCCGTGCGGCGCCAGCCGCCGCGGAAGCGCGACGAGCCGACGATCACCGACGCCATGGTCTTTCGCGTCCTGTCGTCCGCGGCGCTCGTCGCCGCGGGCACGCTCGCCGTCTTCTCCGCCGAGCTCGCGAAGGACGGCACCGGCGAGGGCTCGACGAAGCACGACACGACGATGACGTTCACCGTCTTCGTGCTCTTCGACATGGTCAACGCGCTCACGTGCCGGTCCCAGACGAACCTGGTGGGCTCCGCCAAGCTCCCGGTCTGCGCGAACGCGGCCTTCGGCGTCGCCATCTCCGCGTGCGTGCTCGGCCAGCTCCTCGTCGTCTACTGCCCGCCGCTCCAGCGCGTCTTCGGCACGGAGGCGCTCTCGGGGCGCGACGTCCTCGTCTGCGCCGCCGTCGCGTCGTCGGTCCTCGCCCTCGACGTCGCCCGCAAGCTCTACGTCATCCTCGGCTGCGCCGTCGGCGCGAGGCTCGGCGGCCGCATCCCGCGCTTCTTCGCGTCCGCGCCGTCGAAGAAGGACGACCCCGACGGGGGCCAGGCCGCCCACGTCGTCTAGGCGGGCGGGGGGCGCAAATTTAAACGGGGCGCGCTCGTCGCCCGGCAGGTAGACCGCGCCGCCCTCGCCACCCCCACGACCAACCTCCGCTGCGACGCTTAGTCGGCGGCCTTGCGCCGCCGGCTAGGTCGGTTCGCCGGCCCGACTCGGAGGGGATACATACATATGGGATGCTCTGGACGCGGTCGGGGGTATGCCTCGACCGCGGAGCCGGGGGAGCAGGGCGGAGGCCTGGTGGCGGTGGCGCATAGGCTGGCCGGGGGCGTTGTGGCTCTGCACTAGGGCGGCGGCGGCAAGGCCAGCTCGACGGGACTATCTGGGGCTTCGTGAATGATTTCGTGATTGATGTGGTCGTACGTGATCTGGTCGTACGCTTCGTCCGCCGATCGCGCTTTCTTGTTCTGGCGGTCAAGGTCGATCGTGAGGATGGCGTCGACGTGGTCGTCGTCAATCTTTGGCTTCAGGGATCCGGCGGCGTCCGCGGCGGCGGCCGGCTCGGGACGCGCGACTTCTTCGGTGGCGACCATGCTCTTCTTGTACGCTCGGTAGCGTCTCGGTACGGCTCGGGACGGTAGCGTCATCTCATCGGGATTAACCTCGCAGGTCTCGACGAGGATCGTGTAAATTGTCGCGACGAGCACGAGGGTCCCGATGACGATCATGGCGTAGCTAAACACTGGACCTTTGAACATATCGCCGGGCGCGCCGTCCTGCTCGTCCATGTCCTTGATGAACAGCATCAGCGACGCGATGAACACGAGGATGATCTGCGCGTTGCCCACGTTCGCCAGGTTGTCGTCCGCGTCTGCGATGTAGGGACGGCTGTACGTGTAGACCTGCATCGAAAGGAACGCGATGAGGAGGCCAATAGCTATCTGCGACGCGCTACCCGGGTACCTACATCGAATCTTCATGTACATCGAATCCTCATGTACACCGGGAACCTACATGAAAATTAGCAGGCCCGTGAGCGCCAGCTTGCGGACGCACTCGAAGACCACGAACTGGTAGCAGCGCGGCTCGTACCTGGCGCGAAAAGGGTTTCGCACTAAATGCGATGCACACGAGACGCTGCGGCGCGCTCTTCGAAGAGAAACGCGAGATGCTGGATCGACTCGTCCGCATCACGCGTCTTGAGCTTTCGTTCCTGCAACTCTGCGGCGGAGACTGTATTGGCGCCGAGCATCGCCGTCATCAAGTCTCGCGCGGAAGAACTTTGCTCCGAGAGTCGCGCGTCAAGCTCTCTGTACGCCTCCGTAGAATCACTTCGAGGCCCACCGTCGTTGCTGTCCTCGATCTTGCCGAGCCGGCTCTCGTTGACGTCCGGGTCCAGCTGCTTGCGGTACCGAAAGAGAAGGAGGCAGTAGGAGAGCGGTATCCCAACCGGGTACACGAAGAGCATGGCAAGCGCGTAGGTGGACCAGGTGCCCTTGTAGCTCGGCGAGCCGCACGAGATGTCGTGGTCCGCCTCGAGACGTCTTCCGGCGGCCGGGCCCAAATTGCAGCGACGGTCCCCTAGGTTGCCTAACGCGCTAGAGAGGGCACAGATGTAGCCGGCTCGAGGCGTGCGGTCTCCGGATCGACGCCGCTCGGCGCAAAAATTATGGCGACGAGTGAACTCGGGCTTTGGGGTCTGGGGTGGTAAAATTTAAACCAAACCGACTGGGGCGTACTCGGGGGGACCTCGGGTGACTTCCCCTGGGTCCCGGGCTAGTTCCTGGCACCTATTTTCTGGGTCGGTCGGTCGGTCGGTCGGTCGTCGTCGTCGTCGTCGTCGCCGCCGCCGCCGCCGCCGCCGCCGCCGCCGTCGTCGTCGTCGTCGCGCGCGCGGGGGAGTTTCGAACCTAATTCAGTCGCAGGGCGACCGTAGAGAGGTGATGAGTTGCCCCATGCCAGCTGTCACGGCATATGAACCCGGGGATGCAAAAATCGAGTGGGGGCGCGCCCCGCAGTCGCAGTGATCGACAGTCTCGCCGCGGAAGGCCGCCAGCAGGATTTTTTGCGCTCACGAACCCCGTCGTCGCTGCCCGGCGCAGCACGCGCGCTTTTCGTGCACCACCTGGCGCAAAACGGCGAGGTGCCGGCGCATCACATCATCGCAGCGTTATCCGTCGGTCGAAACGATGCAGTTTTGTACGATTTCGATGAAGTTTTCAATGATTACTTCAATGAACAACCCAAAACGTTTGTTCTTACTACGAGACGGGGTCCTCCAATTAAATTCACCGGCCGCGCTGAGCTTACGGCGCCCGCGGTCGGAAGCGGTTGGTGGTCCAAGTAAGCAAAATCTTACCGATGGCGACGCGCGGTGGAAAATTCCAGAGTGCTGGCGGGGACGAATGGAGAAATTTCTTAGAAAAATGTTCGAATTAAATTCGAGGGCCTGTTCCACGCGTCCAAACGCGTCGGTTTCTGAGGGCTTGGACCAACGCGGGTTAACTTGTCCTCCCCGGAACCCCTCAGCTCAAGTCAGCTCGACGTCGTCGGCACGGGGGGTACGGGGGGGCTGGGGAGGGGAACTTCGACTTCAAGCACTCGCCAAGCCGAAGTGGCAGTGCAGAGCATGGAGTGTACCTTTTGTGGAGAAGCAAGCAATATGGACCGCTAGCATATGGCGTCGCGGCGCGCGTGGTGCCTGCGGGTCCTCCTGGGCCTGGCCTTCCTCCACGTCGTCGTCTGGCGGCGGCTCCTGGCGCGGGTCGCGCGGCGGCGGACGGCGCACGTCTGGCTGTCCTGCGACGCGGCCGACGCGCGCGTCGCCTACATGCTCGAGCCCATCCGCGCGACGCTCGCCGAGGGCTTCGCGGCGCGCGCGGCGCTGCGCGAGGGCGTCGGGCCGGCGTCCTTCGCCGCCGCCGCCGCCGCGGCGGCGCCCGGAGACGTCTTCGTCGTCGTGAGCTTCTACAACGGCCGCGCGTTCCGCGACGCCGCGCGCGTCGCGCGCGGCCGCGGCGCGGCGACGGTCCTCTACCAGACGGAGCCGCTCCACGGGTCGGGCCCGCCGGCCTGCGGCGCCGGCGCGCGCGCCGCCGCGCCGGCCGACGACGACGACGGCGGCGGCGGCGACGACGACGACGACGACGACGACGGCCGCGGGCCCGAGGCGCCGTCGCGGGCCTACGACGAGGTCTGGGACTACTCGCGGTCGAACCTGGCCAAGTGCGCGGCGTTCGACGCGCGGGCGCCGCCGGGCGGCGCGCCCGCGCGCCGCTTCGTGCCGCCCGGGTTCGTCGACAAGGGCTTCCTAGCGCGGTCGCTCCGGCGCGGCGCCGGGCCGCCCACGGCCGCGTTCCTCTTCCTCGGCTGGTTCGGCGCGGGGCCCTTCGGCCGGCGGTGCCTCGCGGAGCTCGGCGCGCGGCTCCGGCGCTCCGGCGAGGGCGACGTCCACCAGGTCTACGACAAATGGTCCGACGGCGCGCTCCGCGAGTCGCTCGGCGCCTACGACTTCGCGCTCACGGCGCACAAGACCTGCGACGCGGCCAAGGCGCGGGACATGCCCGTCGAGGCCTTCCGGCTCGCCGCGCTCCTCGGCGCGGGCGCCGTCGTCGTCGGAGAGACGTCCGCGGCGGCCGACATGGCCGACTACGCGGGCCTCGTCGACTTCGTGCCCGTCCACGACCTGCGCAAGGCCTTGGTTATCACGGCCCGGGCCTACGCGGACCCGGCGGTCCTCGCCGCGCGCGCCGCGGCCGTCCGCCGCGACTACGCCGCGCGCTTTGGGCCTCTGAAGCTCTTCCGCGACGCCGACGCGGACGCCGTCTTCGCGGCCGCGGCCGCGCCGCCGCCGCCCCAGACCCGCGCGGCGCCCGCCGGCGCCGGCGCCGACGACGACGACGACGACGACGATGATGATGATGACGGCGCGCGGGACCGCGCGCGGGCCGCGGCCGCGGCGTTCGAGGCGGCGCTCGACGGCGAGGCGCGGCGCTGGCCGCCGCTCGCGGCGGAGGACGCGCGCGCCCACGCCTGGGCTCCCGACGAGCTCGCGCGGCCGGCGGCCGGCTGCGCCCTCGCGCCGCCGCGGTCCCCGCGGCGGCCGGCCGCGCGCGTCGTCGCCGCGCCGCGCGCGTCCTCGCCGCGGTACCTGCCGATCTGGTTCGGCGCCTTCGACCTCGGGGCCTACCGCGCCGCGCGCGTGCCCTGCCTGGAGAAGAACGCGTCCTTCGCGCCGCTGAGCGGCCGGGGCTTCGGCGCGCACGTCGCGGACTTCGACGACGAGGCCGACTACCTCGCCGCGTACGGGTCCGCGTTCTTCGGGCTCACGGCGAAGAAGGCGGGCTACGACGCGCTGCGCCACCTCGAGATTTTGCTGAGCGGCGCCGCGCCCTACTTCCTCGACGTCGACGCCGTGCCGCCGCTCGCGCTCTACGGGTTCCCCAAGGCCGCGGTCCGCGCGTTGGCCCGCGTCGCCGGCGCGCCGCGCGAGGCCGACGTCCGCGCGGCGCTGGGCGCGTCCCTCGGCGAGGCGGCGCGCCGGCGGGAAGTCGGCGAGGCGCACCGCAAGGCGGCGAGGCGGGCCGCGCGCGCGGGCGCGCCGCCGCCGCCGCGGCCGCCGCCGCCGCCGCGCGGCGCCGCGGCCGCGTTCCCCGCGGCGCTGCCGCTCGGCGCCGCCTTCGACCGGGCGGCCTTCTGCGGCGCGCTCGACGCCGCCGTCGCGAGCGCCGAGCGGACGCTCACGGTCGACGCGGTCGCGGCCCACGTGCTCCGCGGCGCGGGCGCCGCGAACGCGACGACGGCGCTCGTCGTGGCGACGCGCGACGTCGAGTACATGTCGGGCATGGTCTACGCGGGCCTCGTGCGGGCCCTCGGCCTCGGGTCCGTGAGCGCCTGGAGCGGGGCCAAGCGGCCGCTCTTCGCGCCCGCGGCCGGCGCGCCGCGCGACCCCGCGAAGCTCTACGGCCGCGGCTTCGGCTACGCGGGCCGCCTCGGCGCGGACGCGCTCGCGGACCGCTGCGGCGCGCGGCGCGCGGACGACCTCGACGCGCGCCTCCTCCGCCGGCGCCTCGCCGCCGGCGCCTTCGACGTCGTCGTCGTCGCCAACGGCGGCGACCGCTGCTGCGCCATGGACGCGTGCTACCCGGGCGCGCGCGCCGCCGTCAACGACTACCTCGACCGCTTCCCGGCGACGCGCGTCGCCACCATCGACGGCAACGACCTCGACGCCTGCCACACGGACTTCGCGTCCCAGCTCCGGGGGCGCGTGGACGCGCACTTCTGCCGCGAGCCCGCGCCCGACGAGTGGCGCTCCTGGCGCCGGCCCCACGGCGACAAGTTCACCCCGCCCGATTTCGACGGTTCGAACTAACTCTTTTTTCGGCGCCTTAGTCCGCGAGGATCGCGCGGAGCGCGGCGACGGACCGCTCCGCGGCGCCGCGGCCCGCGGCGTCGCCGCGGAGGTCGAGGTCCGCGTCCGCGAGCGCGCGGGCCGCGTCGGCGACGGCGGCCGTGGCGGCCGCCGAGGCGCGGAGGAGGCCCCGGGCCTTCTCGCTGTGGTGGACGAGGGCCCAGAGCGCCGTCGCCGCGTCGCCGGCGGTCGCGGCGTCGTCGTCGACGCGCGCGAGCGCGGCCACGAGGAAGTCGACGAGGGGCCCCTGGGCGAGGATGCGGCCCTTGTTGCGGCGGAGGAGGGCCAGGTTGCGGAGCAGCGCGGCGACGCGGCGCGCGGCCGGCGGCGCGGGCGCGCGCCGCGGCCGCGCGACGGAGTCCGGCGACGCGTACGCGCGCGCCGCGCCGGGGCCGAGGTAGTGGCAGAGGTCGAGGAGGAGGTCCGCCGTCGCGCCGTGGTCGAGGAGCGCGCGCTGCGCGTCGGGGAACATGGTCATGGCCGCGAGGAGGCCGAGGAGCGCGTCGCAGCGGCGCCGCGCGGCGTCGCGGCGCGGCGGCGAGCTCCGCGCCGGCGGCGCGGCGGACGCGGCGGCGAGGCGCCGCAGCGCGTCGACGGCGTCGCCGACGAAGCGGCCCTGGAGGAGCGCGGCGCGCGACGGCGACGCGGCGACGCGCGCGAGCGCCGCGCAGGCGACGGCCGCGCGGCCGGCCGCGGCCGCGGTCAC